AGAACGGCGAGATTCGGTGAAGTCAGACTACCACGACCGGTTGGCTGGGTGTGCAAGGACTAGGCGAAACTGTGTAGCGTTTTGCTGAGACGGTGGAGATGCTACGGTGGCGGCAAAAGCTCAACGGAGTATGGCGGTGGCGGCGGGAGAAAACAGAGGAAGAATAAAAACAACGACGACGGCATCTCGGTCTTTATAACGCGGCTTAGAAGCACAAGTAAGCCACGCATGAGCCTCCTCCGTGCCAGTGCGACACCAAAGACGACCACGACCGCGCCTGGAAGCAAGCAGGAGGTCGCCGGCGGTGTAGCTTAAGCGGCGAGCACTGTTCACCATATTTACAGAATTGCCATCCGATTTGAAACTCAAATTACTCCCAAATTTGTATAACTCAAAAATCTCCAAAAATAAAAGTTGTTCAAAATCAAAAGTTCTACAACTTTGCTTTTATAACCACCCCCTAATTCGGTCTACATTTTGAAATGCAAATTTGAATTCAAAAAGGGGACATTTAAAGAATTACGCCTTTTCAATTTACTTCAAATTTTTCTAAACAACTTTGAAAACTCCAAAAACAAACTTTATACAACTTGACAAACTCTACATTTTTGCTTTAAGGCTCAACCCCAAAATATGCTTCGATTTTGAAATGGGTTTTTCGAGTGAAACAAATCACTGGAAATCGGGGTTTTCGAAAATCCAAATCCAAACAAAATTTTAAACTTGATTCAAACAATACAAGGCAACACATAACATAAATGTAAACTTGTTTTAGTGTGTGCACATCAAAGTTTTTACTAAGGCCAAATGCTTTGCAATGCATATGATGACATGGCAGGTTTTAGTATTTCAAACACCCGAGGTGTTACAATTAATCTATTAACTGAGGCGGGCGAACCAACCACCTCCATAGATCTAGATTAACCATGACCTTTGAACTGAGGTAGATGGTTTGCCCATCTTCGTTAATCAATTTTGCCCGCCTCTATTAAGTTTACTGTAGTAGTGTTCGTCTACTATTTATTTCTAACCCTACAGAAATCCTATATAATATCATGTTTCCATGAACCAGCTAACACCTTGATTAGGACAACCATTGAGACAAGCATGTCGTCGTACAATCAATTGATCTATGAGATGTCTGAGAATCGCTCTGATACACATACTTGAAACAGTGGCCACTTCCTCAAATGTCCTAAAACTTGCTGCCACTTTGTGCTGCCTGAACTTGGTTACAACAGTTGGTCGATCCCATGTTCAGTTGATAGAAGATTCAGAAACATATCAACCGGAGTCAAGAAGGGATTTAGTAACAGGCCACGAGCATGAGGGAGGGCAAGGGTGGGAGGAGATGTTGGACCTGGATCGAAGCTTGGTGGCCATGGAGCTCTCAGGGGTGTTCGATTATATCGCCGTGGATCATGACACGCTGTTCACCATCTTCGTTCGATCCTCTCTGTTGCGGCGGCCTCTCGACGTTTGGCGTGAAGAGGAGGGCGTGCGCGGGGCGAGGATTAGATCGTCCTCGTCTCTCCCTCGGTGGCGGGTTGCGGCGGCCTCTCGGCGTCAGGCGTGAAGAGGAAGGCAAGTGTCGGTCGTTTCCGCGAACATCGGCGACGGTAGGTGTCATTGGTTTCCATGAAGATTGACTCGGCGCTAGGTGGAGTCGAGGAGAAAGAAGGATGTCGCGGATCTCTGCTCCCTTTGTACATGAATGGAGGCTGCTTTCTTTGTACATGATTGCAGGAGGAGATCATGTGCCGGGGGAAGCAAGCGGGGAGGAGATCATGCAGGTGCGACAGGGGAAGCGAACAAGGAGGAGATCGCGCGTGCACCGAGGGAAGCGAGCGAGGCATCACACGCCTGTGGACGATTGGTCTGCAAATGTTTTAGTTGTATATATATGTAGAGACTGTGGAATGGAATGAATTGATGTATCATCACCTCATTCCTCACAATCTAATAAATAGTCCTAGTGTCAGGAAGGAAGTCATTCCACCAAATCTGAGGGATGAACTCATGATCCATCACCTCATCTAGAATGGTTTGATTTCTCAAACCAAACACACCCTTACTTGTTAATTAGGGTGTTTCTTAGTGCCCTGCTAATGAATTGGAACTCATTCGGTTATTTTTCTCGAATGGAAATCTTGATTTGTTGAATCTTTATTGATGACACCAAAGATTTCTTTTCATTTTATATCTCAGCATATGTCTCAGTCGTGATTCAAGTACAGAATAATTATATTGTCCTTGTTCTAAAAGAGAAGAAATGACAGCACATGTGGTGAACTATTATTGTCTAGCAACATCATAAGATCATGCTCACCAATCATCTATGTTAAAACTGAAACACCTAATTGTGACGTTGATGTTCATTAGTCTCGGATGAGATATTCCTAAATGTGAAGTTCGTCTTTTTATCTGTGTCCAGCTAGGATTGCCTAAAACCGCTCCCCATGAATTAGTCTTTTTTTCTTATCACGGTTATGACTTAGTGCTACCGTTCTAACTCCACCTTGTTATGACAGAGCATACTTGTGTGATGGGATTAACCGAATTCTAGATACATAGCAGCTAGTCCAGTCGTGGCGGCTCCAGCGCAACTCCTGTTACCAGATGTGGAAAGAACAAGCGAGGAGAAAGGGGGAGCGAGAAACATAAGTGAATAGGACTCGCCGAGAGTAGAAGAGGGAGACCGAGAGGAGCCATGGGATGGGCTTGACCCCATCGGACGCGCAAGTAGCCTCAAGCACCGCTGCACGAGGTCCCCTTGTGCCACACTAGGTCTGTCACCCGTGCTTCATCCTGCCTCCTCGTTGGGCAGGAGGTTGAGCACACTGGTCGCCTTCTTTAGCTTCCGCCATGCCATCGCGCCATCGTGCCGCCCATGCGTTGTGCTTTTCCTAGATAAGAGGAACGGAGCTTAGACATGGGAGTCACGAGGTTGAGCGCACGGAGGTCGCCTTCTCTGCCTTCCTTGAAGCTGAGACGTGAGAGTCATGAGAAAGAGCTCAAGTAGGATACATATATGCATAAAAGAGCAGAAGTAGAATGCAACTTGGACATCTAAACTGAGGACGGACAATGAAGAGTGTTAACATTGCTTTTGCCAATGTGAACATCGTCACTTTTGCTTTTTAATATAGTGAGACTAATCCCTCCGTCCTATAATAAGTGTGTTTCTAGAGTTTAAAATTTATGCCAAAATAAGAACACCTCTAGATACTAGATAACCTAACTCTAGTTGTCTTAGAGCATCTCCAGCAGTACTACCTAAAACAGACTATCTAAATGTCTGTTTAGGTACCCACCTATTTTTATACTACCTAAATTTTGCTTCCAACTCCAGCAGTACAACCTAAATCGTGGCTCCTAAATTCAGTTTAACAGCCAATGACATTTGGAGCCCACATGTCATCCTCTTCCTTCCTTTGCCATCGATGAACTCGGCCAACACAGTCGCGGAGAGGGGATGGGACGGCACCGGGAGGGCTATCTGCCGGTGGGGAGCGGCGGTGGGAGCAGGGGCGGCGCCGTTCGCCGGAGCGCCGGTGGGGAGCAGTGCGGACACCGGAGATGGCCGACGCCGGAGCAGATGCGCTGCTAGGGACGGGTGCCACGGGCTCGCGCTAGGGATGGCCCGCCGCTAGCCATGGCGAAGGCAACTCGCAGCATCTGGGCCGACCGGGGCGGAGGCAGCTCGACCCGTCGGGGGCAGGCTCGCCGAGGAGTGGGGGAGCCGAAGACCGCACCTTTGCCGGGGACGAGGAGGTGTCGTGCTGGCTCGCTGGGGAGAGGAGGGCAGATCGCTGCCGGGGGCAGGCCACGCCTGCAGGAAACTAGAGCGACCGCGAGCGGGGCGCCTGCGTGCGACGGTGCTAGTGTGAAGGAGAGAGATGCACGTCGATGGGTGAGAGAAAAATAGGTAGACAGATTTGTTGGCCCAACCGATGTAGGTAGTGGGAGGGAAAATATGTTGGGCCAACAAATTTAGGTATCCACTACCTAATTATAAGATAGGTAGGTTACTGAAGATGTTCTTATACTACTCTAACTCCTTACTACTCTCTTTTCGAAGTGCAATGATTACACCTTTACTGGGGACATATGTAATTGCTAGCACTGATCTCTCCTAAGTTTTATAGGGATATATATGTTACTAGCATTGATCTCTCCACTAAAATCCTAAAAGGGCACTTATTTTAGCACGGAGAGTAGGTACCAAAGTAGAGGTTCGATTATATATAAAAAAAATATTGGTATGAGACAATAGGTTAATGTTTTGTGATTTACGGTTAAAAAACTAGACCCATCTGAAATGCAATGTTGTAATATCGGAGTTGCATCCTTGGCCAATAAAGATCATGATTCGATAAACGGTTGCTGCTGCCCACATAACATAAATAGCTTAAATGCTTACTTAAATGTTTAACTTACGCTTACGGCTAGATCAATCCTTACCTACAAAAGATAAACATCAATAATACATCTGTGCCAGTACAACGGATAATAAAACGAACTTATACAAAGTCCAACACAAAAGCTTGGCCACCTCTTAAAACACTGGTAAAATCATACAAAATAAATAAAGAACAACGATATCTAACTGTTCAGTTTGTCAAACAGCCAACACAGGGAAAACGACGTTTAGGGGTGCAAAGAACACGATGAGATTGTAAATGAAAATGAAAGATGCACAGATTGAAAGATGCACAGATCTTGCCGACATTTCATCAAACAGCCAACACAGGTGAAACGACAGTTACGGTGGCAAAGAACACGATGAGATGGTAAATGAATAGGAAAGATGCACTCTTGCCGACATTTCTCAGGCATCATCTTTTACTCTTAATGTAGGCATTCTGCTGTTGTGTGCCTTGATCAATTTGAACTCGTTGCGGTAATGCACACAAATAAACATCAACCTTTGCATTTACTCTCAAGTGGAAGCAGAAAGCTCATCCCTTGTCGGATTTGAACAGAGTTTCCAGGTCATCTCAGCGGTAGCCACCCCATCCTCTTCCTCTTCCTCGGCCACCCCTGCCCCGCCCCCTTCCACTGCCTCTACCACCACAAGACAATCCTTCAAAAGCTCTGTTCACAAGCTGGTTTTGCATTCCTCCTCTCCCCTTCTTATTTGCAGGGCCATTCCCATCTGTAGCAGGTTGTGACCTCTTCCCCCTGAATGATTTGCAAACTAAAAATGAGTAAAATGAAACATTTTAGGAACTATAAAAAATTTTGAAATATTGGATAGCATGCATCCAACCCTGCTGTTGTAGCTTCTGATTTCTTGGGCTGCTCCATCCATGATAGAGTGATTTTCTTATCACCGATAAATAAAGGGGATTTCGAATGCAATGACTGAAAGAAACATCATTGATATAGTTAGAAAATGTAAAGTGTAAGTACATAACATGTCAAAAAAAATCTTCTAGCTCTGTTTCAAAAGGTATTTGTCATTTAAAAGTAGTTTAGGCCTGTATGTATGAAAGTTGGGCAAATTGAAGATAGGGGATGATGAACTATGATGATGGAACTCACATGCATGATAATATCAAATTCTTGTTTTGAATGTCATATATCCTATACTTAACAAGGCATTAATTAATCAACTAGGAGTACAAGCGCCTAGAAACGCCTAGGCTCAGGCAGAGCCTGGTTGCCTGCCTAGCACTTAGTGCTTTTTGAATATTGCTTCTGACAGATACAAATAGACATCATATCAAGCTATCAGCAGGGTAAACCAGAGGAATGTGGTTCAGTCGTTTAGGCATTATATATGTATGTATATCAAGGTTTGCATATTTAATATCAAAGTTCTTGTTTTGAATGTCAAATCCTCTACTTAACAAGGCATTAATTAATCAACTAGGAGTACATGCGCCTAGAAACACCTATAGGCTCGGGCAGAGCCTGGTTGCCTGCCTAACGCTTAGTGCCTTTTGAACATTGCCTCTAACAGATACAAATAGACATCATATCAAGCTATCGGCAGTGTAAACCAAAGTAATGTAGTCAGTCCTTTAGGCATTATATATGTATATCAAAATTTGCATAATTTAATATCAAAGTTCACATAGTAGAACATATACTTCAGACGAAGAGCTACAGATTAGGTCTATTTGGACCATAACAATCAATACCTTATAGCTTGGCCAAATAGACACAGGATTTTATGTCCTCATGATATGGTAAAGTAATACTATGAGATTGACATTTGGGTGTGTGATTCTTCCATTCTCTATGAATATATGCATATCTAATCATGTACCACGTAAGGGCTTATTGTTACTGCTTTCTGTTTATTTCCTTTATTCCCAACTTTATTTATCCTATGAATGAGATTTCCTCATACTGAGCAGTGAGCAGTGAATTAAAATATTTCTCTCTTTTTCTTTATGTCCACAATTTCAATATCACCATCTTATATTTGCACTGCCTCCAATGTTATAAGAACTGCTGGCACCCAAAATCTAGTCATCACAATAATCATGGAAACATGTTCTACTGCCGACCAGAGCTAGTCTAAAATACATTGGAGAGAATTAAGGGACTCGAAAAAGGATCTGAACCTACCAAAGTTAATACCTAAGTAAAACAAAGAAATCACCTGTGTCATTGCCAATATATTGTTATATGACCTCATTGTCCTTGTTGAAGTTTGCTGATCACCTTTCTGCACCCAAAAAAAAAATCACAATTGTTTGGAATGTTCTCTCTGAAAAATATATTGTTGACCCATGATAGTTCAGCATACTAAATCGCAAAAACTCACAATTTTAGTCTTTTCCTCTTCAGTTTTTGCTGAAGATATTGCCTTGTTGAAATCTGCCATCCCCTGAGTTAGTCGCTTTGAGGCTGCTCGTACCGTCTCTTCTGTTCCAGTTAACCTGCGTATTTCAAACAGTAAGAAACTCGCAAACATGAAAGTTTGGAGGCAAAACTACACCATTGAATGAAAAAAGTTCAGGTTGAATGAAGACTTTTCAGTAGAAAGTTGCATGAAACTCTCAGCATTGCTCACAAAATTGTTTGATTTCATATCAGCACATGCAAATCTGATATGAACACAGCTTTTGTGTGCTCCGTACAATGCTCCCACAGAGGAATAGAATTGAGATCCTGGGACGAGGAACGTGGCACAGTACCACATTCCCAATAACACTGGTCTCACATTTGTTCATTGATGATCGTCCAAATTTAAAGTCTATAAGATCCAAGATCCAAATCGATTGCTTCTCTTCTTTCTTCCTTCATGTCCATAGGGACATGCAACTTCAATTGATTGACACCACCCTTAAGATCACACCTGGTTCATTCCCTCAGAGTGAATACCTAACAGTATGTATCATTAGAATTACATTCAGTAGGCAGGGAGTTCTATTTTTGAAGGATGTGCTTAGATCTTTAACACCCCGTTTGAATGTATATATTCATGCCCAGAGTTCAGAATTGGTATTGTGTGCACCAGAATTCTGATATTTGGATGGCCTGGGAATTGGCGGCTGGAAATTAGCTCCAATACCAAACGGTATTTGGCATACTGATTGTGCTCCCTTCCGCAATTCCGAGCCCTCCCGCTCCACAGTTGTCAGAAATCGCCCTCTTCCCCGCACTCACTTCGCCACAACCAGCAAAAAAGAAGAGAATAAAAACAGAAGCCAGTGGTAGGTGACCAGGGCAGTTTGATGGCAGCATGCAGGTCAGTTCTTCCGGCCTTAACTCTCTCAGGCAAGTCCGACTCTCCATGGCCCTGGCCACCTCCGCCAACACTCCATGGCAGGCTTCCTTCCCTTCCCCTCCTCCCCCTGTCCACTCGAGTGATGGCGCATCATGCATATGCCTAGCCCTAGCTCTCGCAGCAGCACAGCAGCGATGGAGCAAGCACACAGCGCTCTGGGTTAGCAGCGGCTAGTGGCATGCACCCATTCTCCCTCTGCAAAGGTGGCGCTCCATGCCTTCTTCTCTCTCCCAATCTGCACCCCTCCTCGCCTCCGCCATGGCCAGACGAGAAGCTAGAGGGTTGGGTTGTGGGCTGGCGATTGGATAAGCAGCGCAGGGTGGTTGGGTTGTGGGCGTGGTGAAAAAGGAGAAGATGGGTCAACTCTCAATTTGACGATATGCACATCGCATGAATTGGTATTTGCCACCTCTCTGGATTCCAGGTAGAATCAACATCCAAACAAAAGATTTGGTATTGTAGCCTATTTCCAAAACTAGTCCAATTTGGTATTGGAACCTTTCAATTCCAGCAGCTCAATATCCACATCAAAATGGACTCTCATGCAGACTAGACACCACAGTTAATGAGAGATGAAGCCAAAAAGGATTGAATATGTTACAAGGAAATGGGAGGTCAGGCTACATGAACAGAAAGTTTGGTGTAAAATTATGAAGCAAGTGGCTACAACTAATAACTAGACTTGCTCGCTCAGCTAGTGCTTCTAAACAAATCCGCACAAAACAAAATAGAACATACAAATTAGCTACTGCGACAATGGAAGCACATCCAAGGTGAAAACTATAGCTACCTCTCCGTGAAATCTTTGTAATGCTCTGAGAAGTCCTCTCCAAGTCTATCTGATGGTTGCCCAGTAACAATCTTGTAACCACATAGACTGTTCGTTGTGTTTGGAGTCTGAAATGCAGATTTGGTCAGCACTTTTTTAGATAATGGAAATAAATCCAGCTTCAATTTTTTTCAAATAAAATCTCCAAGAGAATCAAACTACTTATTACTCCCTGCATTCCAAATGGTAAGTTGTTCTAACTTTTTTAGATGCAGTCTTTTGTATGTATCTAGATATAATGTATATCTAGGTACGCAGCAAAAACTATGAACCTAGAGAAGCTAAAATGACTTACAATTTCGAACGGAGGCAGTACAAAATTGTGTAACCACACAAATGTCTCACTCAAAACTCAATACTAGCATTATAAGGCCATACAAAGGAAGCAAAAAATATCATTGCCGCCATTTCAAGCACTTGACAACTTGGGAGAATGCGCTCCTTATTGACAGATTTGGCCAGCACTTAGAAAAGGGCATCCATAAAGAAATGATATGATTCATAACTGATGACCAAACCTAACCTTATGAGCCAAATGATGAAAAGTGTACAGCAAGCACTCAACATAATTATGGCTGATATCTTCCACCTTCTTCCCAGGCATATACTTCTGCAATTCAAACAGTAACACAATGCTCAAAAGTAAGCAGAAAAAATAACAAATGCTAAACAGTCTGTTATCAAAAGAAGTCATTACATCTCATCTTTTGATGAACAATGAAAACCTAGAAAAATTGTGCAAGGCCTCATACAGATCTGAATTAAGAAGTGTACTAACCTTGAGTAACTGAACAACAGATGGAAGCAGCTGACGTGAATCTTGTGCTGTCACATACGGTGAACTTGAAGCAATAGTCTTGAGCAAATCCAGTTTCTTTTCTTCAGGAATCTAAAATATGCATAGAATGGAAAAAATAAAAACTTAGTTTCCAAAAAAAACGGTTCCATTTTATGCATGACATGGATTTCCAGTTTATGCATGACATGGGTAAAGAGTTTGACTGGAGTTTCAAACTGTTATAACAAAGCGACAGCATAAACCTTCATAACTACTGTATAGTGCAGCTTCTTTTTTTGTTAATTTATCCCATGTTAGCTTTTGTTAAGAGGGTAACCAATTTAGTATTGATCATTTTTCACTTCATAAACAAATTATTAATATATCTGGTAGCTAAATCCAGGAAACCATTCACTGGACAAATGCGGACTTAGACAACAATATAGCAAATATAAACTGTGAAGAGTCAAACAAAAACTATCGACTTCATGATGATTCTGCAGCAAGACCAAACAAGCAAGACGCAAATTAAAGCATTCTTTGTTCAGCATGAAAATACTAAATCAATATCAATAGAAATAAAAAGATGTAATGCTTTGCCATGTTGCCATGCTGTTTCAAGGAAATGCTTTTTGCACTTCTTCATGTGAATTAGAGAGGACAAAGCACAAGTGGAAATGATTACCTTCTCAAATGCTGGAACAATTTGCTTGACGAAGTAATTGAGGAACTTGCTTGCTGATCCTCCTCTCTGCAAATCATGTAATCCAAATTACAATATGATATTCACCAACAACTTAAATAACCCATCGTCGTTTTTAGTATATTTAGTGATACCATGAAGATCGGAAGAGCCATATACACGCATGAAATCCACCTCTCAATGTGGTCAATGTCAGAAACCTGGAAGGATGAATGAGAATGATGAGAAAAAAAAACAGTTTATCTCAAATCAAGAACACAAAACAAAGCTTATTTTTTTATACCATGGAAAAAAGTTTACGCGAACTTATCCCCATACATTTCTAATATGCTTCTATAAACATTCAAGTAAAATAGAAAGCACTGAAACTAGTGCAGCTTCTAAAGAATTAATCTGTTATTTTGCATATCAACATACAGTAAATTCGGTTCCAATACTGTTCACATAACATACTTACATTGAATTGTGAATTCAGATCAGCCTGTGCTTGAATAATTTCAATTAGTTCTTGAAAGGACTCTCTAGGAGCAGAATCCCCAAATATGCTCAAGCTTCGCAGGAACCCCATGAATAGTTCAAATTCTGAACCAGTTACATCTTGCACACTCTGAATAATGTCATTTGTTCAAGCTCAACACATAACATAAATAGAGAATTGAACGATGTAAACGATCATTTCATACGGTCAAAAACTGAAAACAGTTAACATACTTTCTTTATCAAATCTGTTATAAATCTCTCCATTTCTGCTTGAGGTTTCAGTAGCTCTGCTTTAAGAGGAAAGACCTGAATCCAAAAAAACACAAACACATTCTTGATCTAGCACGCTACAATCTATGATCAACAAAATATGTAATCCCTACATACAGCTATATACCTTGTCTCGAAGAAAACAAATAATCTTCTCACGAATCTCTGATCCTTGCTCCACATGCTTAAATAAAGGTTGTAAAGAATCTGGCCAATATAAGGTACCAATTAACATAAGGAACCAATGAACATCTAAAAGAATGAACAACTGAAAAGGAGAATTCATACAATACAAGCATAGTGTGCATTTCAAAAAAAAATGAAGATATTCCCTCTTGTGTCTCCCATGTACCCTATGGGCATCAATACTATCATCCAATTCAGCCCCTATTATTAGTAACATGGTATCAGAGCTCTAGGTTTTATGATCCAACTAACACCCCCTCTTGGTATCAGAGCTCCTGGTGTTGCTGCAGTTTTGTGCTGCTGCTGTTTATTTTGGAGGAGAACAGAGGTACGGCTGGCCTGATCTGCAGTTTAGCATCATGCTGTCATGTGCGGGTATTAGTGTCATGCCTTCAATCTTCTGTGGCCTCTATCACCAATTTGTTTAGATGCTGCTATAGCTGAGGCCTATTTTCTAAATAAATTCTCAATTGCATGTGTTTCCATCCAAGTCCAGTTGCACATCACCAGTTCGTCCATGCTGTGCGTGTCCACAAATTCATTGTCAGACTCAGCCAATTTTTATTTGTTTTATGGTTAGCTGAGTCCTGAAGGACGGGCCTGGTGCAAGCGGTAGAGTCTTACCGCCTGTGACCGGAAGGTCCCGGGTTCGAGTCGCGGTCTCCTCGCATTGCACAGGCGAGGGTAAGGCTTGCCACTAACACCCTTCCCCAGACCCCGCACAGAGCGGGAGCTCTCTGCACTGGGTACGCCCTATGGTTAGCTGAGGACTGTCGATTTAGCTAACCATCATCATCATTGATGCGACTATGCCCTCTTGGTCCCTTTCGTAGCCATTTTGCTACACGTCAAGATCAATGACCGTTTATTTGTTATCATCATCATTCTATCCTACCGCATGCCATCTTGCAACAGTGACTCTTTGTTCTTCCTTTGGATTGATTTGGCACATCTCTTTATTCTCGTCGGGTTGAATTCTCCAAAACAAGGTTAATAGTTGAAGAGTTCAAGTACCGTTTGTGAAGAATTGAGGTATTTGCTGAAGTACCTGTTGTGAAGGCAGTACCCTGAGGAGGTCAATTTCTACATCGACAGTGTTCAAGAGTTGCACGCTTCGATGACATCTTCGATTTTGGATGTATTATTTTTATTTTTTCAAGTCTAGTGCATAGTGTCAACTCTCCAAACGCAACGACATTGCATTCACGTTGCATTTGAGAAGGGGTGTTAGGGTATAATAGTCAAGGGTATTAGTGTAATCTCCTAGTCTAGGGTTTCTCTCTTGTATCTCCCATGTACTCTATATATAGTCCCTATGGACCTCAATACTATCATCCAATTCAGCCCCTGTTATTAGTAACACATAGAAGGTCCAAGCTCCATAGACTTGAACAGTGGTTACATATAATAAAGGAATATCTGGAATTTGAAAGGCAGAGAACGGTTGTGATCAATACATGCCTCAATTCAATGCCATTAACTGAACAAAGAATAAACAGAAGAAATATCTGAAGGACAGACACTGGGTTCAGAACTAGTACTTTACACTTTATAATAAAAATAAACAACATTGGTTCACTGCCTAGTTAGGCAACCCAAAAAATAAGCCTATATGCGGGTTCGTGGGCTAGCCCACTTGTACCCTACTTGTAGTATCTTTAATCACAAGATAGTTTACCTAAATAATTGCCACTAACAGAGGAAAATTCACATAGATTCACAGTGTAAGCTATTCAAATCATATAATCCTTAATCATTAACAATCAATGATGAACATTGGAATCTTACTTTTAACATCTTGTCGTACAAGGGACATGAGCGCTTTATGAACAGCATCACGCTCCACATTTTCCTCTGAAATGTAGGCAAAAAATCAGATGTGCATATGCAATAACCATTGCAGCAAAGTAACATAGGAAGACCATACCGCTTGTAAGGAGTTGTCCCAAAACATCTGCAATTTTTGACACAAATTCAGTATCTTTGCCAAGAAGTGGAAACCCCCGAATAGCTTGTATTCTGATCTGTAGGAACATATAGCATCAAAGAAACAGCATGTTAATTCTTCTCTTTAAACAAATATAAGAAACACTAACAAAATCAAAGAACAGCATGTTAATTCAAGAAGTGCCAAATAAAATCTTCGAAAACAACTGTTTAAACTCTTGAGTAAACGTGTGAAGAAATCAAGGACAAACATGAAACAAATAACTGATGTATCACAAGCAAAACATGACAGATTGAAATTTTTATACAGCATTAAAGCGTTAGGCCGCATATGATCAACAGTGAAACAAGTGAACAGTACCGATTCACTGTTCCTTGCGATGTCCCCGTTAAAATAACTCAGGTATAAAAGGCCTTTTTTCGTTTCCCAAATTGTTCAAGCCTAAATTGTACTATCTCTAGCAAATCTTGTATTAGTATTACAAACAGCATCATGCCATATCAAAAAGGATAGTCGCTTTGCTGGTTAAGAATAGATTTGGCAGAGTGAGACAATTTCAAATGACAGATAATACTCTCTGTGCACGTACTCCAGAACTATTATAAGTGTTCGTCTCATAGGAATAGGAATAGAGTAATAAATGGCAGGAAAAAAACACAATGTACAGTGCAATAAGCAAATGACTCAATTTTTTTAAGAAATTTAATTTTGGAAATGAAGCTGCCTAAACACAATGGAAACCCAATCCAGCTATTTTGAGTTCGCTCAAAACAGTGGACCAACCTATCGCATAAACTGCTCGTGGGTTTGCTCTCAACTTGTGGTTACACAGAATAACTTGCCAAAACATACCACTCTGCCAAGAGGCAAGGGAATCCAGAGGGGAATCTAGAGAGATGCGAGCATATACCGCGAGCTCCTCCATATCGACGAGGTCGAACATGGCCGACATGGCGCGCGTGGCGAGTGCAGGGAAGCTCCGGAAGAACCTGGGGATGAGCTGCGCTGCGAGCTGCTTCGCCTTGACACTCTGTCCCTTCACCGCTGCAATAATCGCCTCGTAGTCCGCCGCATGCTGCAATTCCGAAACCGAAAACCCCACGTCAATCAAAACCCTAGCCTGAACACGGACCGGCCTTAACAAAATATGGGTGAGCGGGGAGGCACCTCGGACTTGTCCTTGGCGGAGGAGAGGCGCTCGCCGAGCTCGTAAAGCCGCTCCACCTCGGCTGCGTCGGCGTCGGCGGCGGCCATGAGAGGAGAGCGAGGGGATTTGGGAGTTAGGGTTTGGGAGGGAACGGAGCTGGGAAGGGAAGGGTGAAAACGTGTTTTTTGACTGACCACGGGTCCACGCCACAGACGAGATGCTGAAGCTCGACTAGAGCCGCGAATCCGCGATCCTACCCAACGGAAGCATTGGATCAGACAACGCCCGGGCCATTGAGGTCTGAAAGTTTAGGCGTAAGTCACTATCTAATTATGACGATATATAGCTGGCGACCAAAACTTGCCATGTCTAATCTTCGATAAACCGTGACTGTCAGAGAAATGGCATGTTTGGCTGGCGATCAAAACTTGCCACGCCTAACCTTTGACAAACTATGGCTGCCACGAAAAGTGTGGCGAGTAAAGCCGAAGGTATACTTGTGACAACGTTTGGCACGAAAATAAGTCTATAATATCTGGGGCAAAGTGTTAAGAAAGTTCGCCATGCCATAGTTGTGGCAGTGAACCAAACAGCTACCGAAAAAACTGTGGCATGACTGACCTAGGCACGGCAAGCTTTGGTCTCCAACCAAACACACCCTTTAGTTTAGCAAACAAAATTGAAGCCACACTTGTAGCAAAGTTTGACAAGAAAATAGGTCTATGGCATGTGGGATAGGGTGCTAAGTGTTGGGCGACGCCCTATCTTTTCGCACCCCCTGCCGGCGAAAAGACCCTAGTTGGTTTTGTCGAAATAGCCTTGCGGGTCGGCAAACCAGTCCAGCGGTGATGGCACTTTCGCGGAAGCGGAAAGGGCTCTCGCCATGCTCGATCAAAAGCTAGCAATAAATTAACTGGAAATGAAGGTAGGTTGTTCACCTTGTGTTCATGCGATGTGAATTCTTTGTTGCGCAAGTGATCTACTATTCATCTCTCATGGCGAAAGGATGTCAACGGTTTAGCTATCGATGGAGTGCTGGTCCCTTCCCCCAGGTGGGTTCCCCAGCGCCAGCATGATGGGACCACGAGGTCGCGCGAGGGCGGTGTTGGCTAGGGGGTCGTAAATGGAAAGGACCAGAAGATCCCTGGTGAACAGGAATATTCCTTAGGGTTTAAGTAGTTAGAAGGGCATTTTAGTCCATGTAAAAGTTACGGATGAGTTATAAGGGGAGCATGATGGAAACCCTAATCTTTCCGATTGGTATAAAGTTGTAGTTGATCCAATTGTCTTTTCGCTAGTCGAGTCTCTCTTCTGTGTGCTTGAGTGGCAATTTGGTGTTCAAAGGCCACGACCGAGAACAACATTGGCGCCTACCGTGGTTGTTGCTCAAGCTTACCATGGCTGGAAGCAAAGGAGCCAAGACGGCTAGCAAAAGGGCAGAATTGTCCAAAAGCAGGCGACGGCGACAGCGTTACAACGACAGATGCAGCAAACGCTACCGCGGGGGCAACTGCGGCCACCGTGGTAGCAGAGCCAATCGTCATGGGGCCGAGTGCGCCGCAACGCAGGGCGAAGAGGCAATACCACCAGGTGGACGGGCAGAGACGCTGAAAGGATACGTTCAAGAGGTAGACGAGGATCAAGATAACGACGATGACGAAGACAGCAAAATCACCGGTCAAGCAAGAGACCTAAGAAGGTTAGAGCAATACTAACAGGACATCTTAAGGCTGCAGCAAGAAAGGGAGCAATTGTTATAGCAGGCCGCAGTGCGAAATAGAGCCGAGCAAACTGAGCGGGCCATCAGGTAGGCCGAAAACGAAAGAGAAAGGCTGGTTAGAGAAGTCAAGAAGCTGTAGAGAGCAGGGGCAGAAGGTATTTTTCAAGCAGGCAGAAAGATCATGCTGCCGTGGCAGATGGAGCCTTCCCACACTTCGCCCGGGCAAACCAGAACATCGCTGTCGTGGCGACCTTGCTTCGAGGGCTCCCAAAGCCCACGACACCCGAGGATCGTCGGGCCCACCGCGAGATCCACATGTTGCTCGAGCGTGTGGCGGTGCGGTAGGCAGAGAGCTCGCTGTCTCGGCGACGCGAGCTCAACGCCAGTCAGTGCGCACCCTCGGGACGACATGTCAGGGACGTGTCTATCCATCAGGCGTCGCGCGACGGCAGGGGGCACGCCACACCCCTGGTGCATGAGCGTCTCGGCCTCTACCGTGACGCACGTAACACCCTGGATGCCCCTAGGCATGGACGAAGCGACGAGTGAGAGGAAGCTGGCCACGGCTACCACCCTCATCGTGGCGGACGCTACGACAGCAGTGAGGACTGGAGCCTGAGGCCCAACTTGCCGAGACCTCAGGCCTTCGGTCGACACATCCTCAACGCCGCCTTCCCACCGTGGTACCGACCGCCGACCAACATCCTAAAATACTCTAGGGAAATGAACCCCGGACTGTGGCTCGAGGATTACCGGCTTGCTTGCCAAGCTGGTGGAGCAGATAGTGACAATTTCATTATCTGCAACCTCCCGTTGTTCCTGGCCGATTCGGAGCGAACATGGTTGGAGCACCTGCCGCCCAACCGAATTCAAAGTTGGGCGGACCTAAAGGAGATTTTCGTGGGAAACTTCCAGGGCACCTACACGCATTTTGGGAATCCGTGGGATCTCAAAAACTGCTGATAGAAATCTGAGGAAACTCTTCATAAGTACATCCGGCGCTTCTCCCGGCAGTACAACGAGCTGCCCTACGTCGCCGACGCCGATGTTATAGGAGCCTTCCTGTCCAGGACCACCTGCGAGTCTCTGGTTCACAAAGCTGGGACACAAGGGCCTGCGAACCACCAAGGAGCTCCTCGACATCGCCACTAGCCACGCCTCGGGCGAGGAGGCGGTCAGAGAAATTTTTGACCGTCCCAAGGGCAAGGTGAAGCAGGACGAGGACGTCGGTGAAGGTGCCTCCAACCGCCCCAACAAGAAGAAGAACAAGCAGTGGCGCGAGGGCTCGCTCGTGGCTACTACCGACCACAAGCAGGGTTGGAAGCCCGCCGAGGGTACCCCAGACCACTTCAAGAAGCTGCTCAAAGTGATGAGGACATCATTGGCTCAAATATGACCATGCCAACCACTTCTATACTAAAGGTGCAACCATTCTATATGAGGCTTATCATTGATGCATTTGATGAATTGGTGCTCCACCATAAAATGTGTATATTTTCATTTTCAGAATTACTTACATGGATTAAGGGAAGGTTTGATTGCATATGGAAAGCATGGAAGGTTAATGAAGTTGATTGGGGACCAAATCCAAGTATTCCCAACGTCCTCCACCTGGACACCACGTCACTTTTGGTCCAAGGAAAGAAAGAGATCAAATCCAACACGTTTTGGGGCTGGATTCGGACTCCAGGACAGCTCCAACTTGTGATGTTCACCACGGTCGCATACGGACTCGGATTGAGGCGTTCAAGTACTTCATGGAATCCTTATGAAGTCTATTTTCACATGGATCTAGAATCAAGTCCATATCTGTTCTGAGGCGGGCGCAATGACCAAATTACTACCGAGAGGTTTTCTGTTCAAAGGTGCTGCGTCGCCTTAGTTTGGTCCAATGGGCCGTGTATCAAGTTGGGTCCATTAGGGACGCGTCCTAGGGTTGGAGCACGACCCCAACACCCTGGTGGTCGTCCTTCCACCTTCATATACCCCTTAGCCGCCACCAAGAACAATTGGGTTTTGTTTAGATCAAGTTTAGCCATTGCTACTTCCTTGTAGACGCGTGTGTCGACTAGACCATCCGTTCTACTTGATTCAGAACCCCAACTTTGTGAGTTCAGATTGGTTTTTCATCTCCATATTTGCAATTGAGTTGCTTGTTCTACTTGTTCTTGCTTGTTCCTCGATTGCTTGTAGGAATTACCCTAGTGGTTTGGTTGATCGTGCTCCACAAGATCGCGATAGCCGTTGGAGGTGGTGTATCGGTTGCTAAGGCGCAGCATCCTTGGATGGTTGTAGTCGGGCCGTGAACATCATCTCCATCCCCAAATCGAGTTATCCACCTTCTCTCATCGAAAGATCGGGATTCACCCTACTGGGTTCATATCACAAAGGGCCATGCCCGACTCATTCCTTCCCCGTCAGGCACCTATACAAAGACTATGCCCTCATGAAGCGGTTCCTATCCAGTGGCTCCAATAAGGGGGGGAATTGGAAGGAGCCCAAGCCGGCGACAGACGACGCTGAGGGGAAGTACGGTGGCTTTCCGACGCTGGATGGTTGCCTCATGATCTTCGGGGGGTTGGCGGCCTACAACTCCACGCACCGCCAGAAGCTTGCGCGCCGCAAGGTCTATATGGCCGAGCCGGCCATGCCTTCCTTCCTCCGATGGTCGGAGTCCGCCATCACCTTTGATCGGACCGACCACCCTGAAAGCGTCCCGTAGCCAGGAAGATACCCGCTCATGGTCGACCTAATCGTCGGCACAAAGCGGCTCACCATGGTGCTGATGGATGGAGGCAGCGGCCTCAACATCATGTACACCGAGATGCTCGATGCCATGGGCATCGATCGATCACGCATCCAGCCAACTGGGGCACCTTTCCACGACATCGTGCCTGGAAAGCAGGCCGTGCCGCTCGGGAAGATCGATCTACGCGTCACCTTTAAGAATTTGACCAATTACAGGACGGAGACCCTTACCTTCAAGGTGGTCGGGTTCCACGAGACCTACCATGCCATCCTAGGACGTCCATGCTACGTGAAGTTGATGGTCGTCCCCAACTACACCTATCTAAAGTTGAAGATGTCAGGTCCATGCGGGGTCATCATCGTCGGCACCTCCTTCCAGTGCGCCTACGAGTGCGAGGTCGAGTGCTACGAACACGGCATGGCGATTGTTGCCCCCAAAGAGCTCACGGCTATCAGGGAGGAGATCGTCGAAGAAGCGCCCGACCTTAAGCGGTCGGCTAGGTCTTTCGAGCCCATGGAAGGCAACAAGGAGGTCGTCATAGACCCTAGCAGCTCCGAGGGCAAAATGGTGTGCATCGACACCACACTTTCCTCCAAATAGGAAAGCGCACTCGTCGACTTCCTCTGTGCCAACAGAGA